TAACAGACGTAATCATTTCTTAATAAAAACAAGTATGTTACTGGATAAACTGAGTCTTAAGGGCATTCGTACTTAGTGCTTGTAGATGTAACCCTTTGAACCATGATCGTTGTCTAACAGTACTGAAAAAAGTAATTCCTACATTAAAGGAAACAAGCTGCATTTAGCTTATAAAAATCAGTTAGTACAGTTTAGGGAAATAGTGTCTATTTATTCTGAGAATCATAAAATTAAAAAATTCGCTTAGTGGGGGGGGGGCGTGGAATCCAACTGGGTCCACTGGGCCCGGCGGACACTGATTGGCCTGTGAGAATCATAGGCCCGGCGGAAATTGATTGGCCTGTGAGAATCATATATTTCCCAGCATTTTATGGAACCCGAAGGTTCATTACCGTGTTCACAAGAGACCTCCACCGGTCCGTATCCTGAGCCAGATCAATCCAATCAATATCATCCCAACCTATCTCTCTAATATCCATTTTAATATTGTCCACCCACCTACGCCTTGGACTTCCCTGTGGTCTCTTTCCTTCTGGCTTTCCCACCAATATCTTATACGCATTCATCGTCTCCCCATTCGTGCTATATGCCCTGCCAACCTCATCCTCCTTGACTTGATCATTCTAATTATACTTGGAGAAGAGTATAAGTTATGAAGCTCCCCATTATGCAGTTTTCCCCAACCTCCTGTCACTTCATCTCTCTCCGGTCCAAACATTCTCCTCAACACCCTGTTCTTAAACACCCTCAGTCTATGTTCCTCCCTTAATGTCAGAGGCCTTGTTTCACAGCCATACAGAACCACAGGCAAAATTATAGTTTTGTATATTCTAATTTTTATGTTCTTGGACAGCAGACGAGAAGACAAAAGGTTCTGGACTGAATGGTAGCAAACATTACCCGAGTTCAATCGCCTCTTAATTTCCTCCTGAATCAGGTTTCGATCTGTTATCGTTGTTCCCAAATATCTGAATTGTGCCACATTTTCAAAACATCTCTTTGCTATCTTTATACCATGAGATTCCTTGCATTTTTGGTGACGAGACAGCAACATATACTTAGTTTTCTCAGTGTTTACTTCTAGACCAACCTCCTTACTTGCGTCAATTAAAGTCTGTGTTTTTCTTGATGGTATCTACATTATCACCCAGTAGATTCACATCATCGGCTTAGGCCAACAGCTCATGTGTCCCGTTTAATTTCAGTCCCACCTGGTGTTCCTGGATCTTCCTGATGGCATATTCAAAAGCAGAGTTGAAAAGGAGTGACGATAAAGCATCTCCTTGTTTTACACATATACATATATATATTTTTTTTTCCTTGGCTCTACAGCCCCAGTGGGCCTAGGCCTACCTCCATAAACTCCGTTCACTTCGGTTTTTCTAGATCTTAGACATTCGGTAGGACTCCTTGGGCGAGTGATCAGCTCGTCGCAAGGCCTCTACATGTAGACAAACACAGAAACACGCACACAAACATCCATGCCCTGAGTAGGATTAGAACCCACGATCCCGGCTTCCGAGGGAGCGAAGACAGTGCATGCCTTAGACCGCTCGGCTACCGTGACCGGCTATATATGCATATAGTCTGTGTGAAAAGAATGCAGAGTTAGAAGAGGTTGTACACATTGTACGCACTGTGCAATGAAGGTTAAAAGAACATAATTACTATGTAATTTACACCCGAAAGTAAACATTTCTATTCGTTATTTTCTCTTCTACGACGAACCGTTCAGAATATGAAGACTGTTAATTACATCTGCGCCGGTCACGGTAGCCGAGCGGTCTAAGGCATGTACCATCTTCGCTCGCTTGGAAACTGGGATCGTGGGTTCGAATCCCTCTCAGGGCATGGATGTTTAGTTTGTGTGTGTGCGTTTTTCTGTGTTTGTGTACAGGTAGAGGCCTTGCGACGAGCTGATCACCCGCCCAAGGAGTCTTACCGAATGTATAAGATCTAGAAAAACCGAAGTGAACGGAGAAGTTCATGGAAGTAGGCCTAGGCCCACTGGGGCTGTAGTGTCAAGGGGAAAAAAATGACATCTGCATCACATTTTATACATTTTAAAATAATTATCCATTGAATGTACCATAGCAAACCAAAACACGACGTACATTTTTGTTTTATACAAAATATCTAAATGTAATATCACATGTCAATTCATCATTTATCTCCATGAAACCAAAATAATTGGCGAGGTCACTTTTTTGCATTTTCATAAAAATATTTCCAAAGTAAATGTTGCATATCTACTCGTATTTTTAAATATCCGTAGGCCTACCTATACAGAAAATCACAACCTTACATTGCTCGTAACTGATGTAAGCCTCTCAATTTCGCGCTGCTATCGTGATGGAACTTCTGAGGTTCTCATAGCGGTAGTTATGCAAGGTTCTATCTTCTATGATATAACACCGTGCAGTCCTTTCAAAGTCAACCGACTTTTCAGAGGAACAGAAATTTTTGGCTGCTTACTACTGGTTTCTTGTTTTCTTGTCCATCATTCCTGAATATGGAGGCGACATGTTCCTCCGAAACATCGTTTGATTTTCAACGGGCGAAAAGGCGTTTTATCCCAGAAGATAGAACTCTTCAAAGGCAAGGTGGACTCCAGTAATGTACTGTTCACACCCCATGCTCCACGAAAACCAGAAGTCAACTGTTGTCTACAATATGGATGTCTGGAACAGCGAGTTACGCACAGGCCAGTGCAGTTCGGTAATAGTCTCTGCTGAGTGTACTGATATAACAAGGAATTCCAAACAGACCTCAGATATCCTCTTCCTATTGTTTAGATTTCTGGTTCTGAAGACACTGAGACAATATGGCGGTCGCATAAGCCTATTTTCTCTCATTCAGAGGGGAAAGTAAGGTAACTATTAGGGCCGCGCCATAGCTCAAGCGGTTAGTCGCTGGCTTCCCACCGCGGCGGCCCGGGTTCGATCCCAGGTCTGGTCAAGTGGGATTTGTGGTGGACGAAGTGGCGCTGGGCCAGGTTTTCTCCGAGTACTTCGGTTTCCCCTGCCAATCTTCATTCCGCCAATTGCTCCTCACCTATTATCTGGGGCTTGTACAATAGGCCAGAAGTGGCCTACTATAAGGGACTTGGTCCCATCCCAATAGCAATAAAAAAAGGTAACTATTCAAGTACAAGTTCCTATCACACGGTTTATTTTGCAACCTGGAAAACCAATCCTTGTCGGCTCTTCTCGATTGTTTACTTAATCGGAAAAGCTGATGTGAACAGATCACTGGGGCGACAGGAGAATAATAGGCCTATTGAACCTGACCTTAAGGAAACATTGTACGAGGGTTCGGACTGGGCTCAGCTGGCCGAGGACAGGGACCAGAGGCTAGTGCTTGTGAACACCATAATAAATCCTCGGATTCCATGAAATGTGGAACATTTCCTGACTACATAAGTTATGTCAGCTTTCCAAGACGGAATCTGCTACATGTAATTATTTAAGCTAGACTCCAGATGTGTCTGTTTGTAATGTAGTTATTTTATAGGGTTTAGGTAACGTGCAAATATTTTCTTGTAATTATACGTAATATGCAGACTGAGCAAATAAATTATGTCCGGCCTTAAGTTTAATTCGAAACTCCGTGGTTTTAGTCCACAAGCGAACTATACCGACCGAGCAACCGCCGCTTGTCGGCGAAGTTAGTGCAAACTTTAACGGATAGTGGGTGTCGAGTTGTCAGCGCAACGGATCCCCACGTCCGTTAATCTCGGTTTTCTAGACCGGAGCCACTATTTACTCCTCATTTATTCTCACGAGACTGAGTGGACCCCGTTCCAGACCCACTACTTTTCAGAAAATCTGGTAGCACCTGGAATCGAACCCAGGTCCCCTCTGGATCTGTAGCCAGGAACTCTGACCACTTAAGTTCAACATAAGTTAATTTTTAATTAACGATTATTTGTTATACATCGTGATTTTAACAATTTGTAACATTGAATGATTTGTACTAAATCACTTTTTTACGTGATTACATAGTCCTATTGGAGGCTTAAAATCAGATCGAAGACGGTCTCGAGCAATGTGGGTCCAATGTATTATGACAAGTTCGAATTCTGAACTAAGGGGGGACATGATCCTTGAACTTAATGGTCCCTGGTAATTAACCTCCTTCAGATCCCAATTTTCTCTTCAGCAAAGAGAACACTGCAGAAGTGAACCTACCTGTGTTTCGTCACTATCAGCTACACAGGAGAAGAGTTCTATCCTTGACTGCATGTTAGGAAGCGAATTGGCCCAATTTTGTATGATTCAAGGTACTACACTGTTACGTTGTTCCGTGAAGGTTTCATGTTTCGCTCTCCAAACAGGCAGCAAGTGACCTGCGCCTGGCTGGGTAGGAGTCCTGCTCCTCTGCACTGTACACGGTGGAATAACCGTCATGCTCCGATACCCTTGAAGGCAAAAGAATTGTCTTTGTAAACATCACCGAAAGACGGTTCACACACAGCGACATCGGTCGTACGAAAAACTGTCGTAAGACTTTTTTTTTTTTTTTTTTTGCCGCTCGACCTCCTTTTCACACTGGAGCGACTTTATCCGCATCGAATCGCAATTTTGATGAAGGAACAATGAACGACGGACCGAGAGCGCGTACTTGCTATGTGGTATTTTCACCGACGCCGAAAAGAGAAACGGAGCCAGTAGGAAAGATTGCACTGGGTGCATCCAACCAATCAAAGGCGAGATGAAGTTGGGTTGTTCCATACATTGTTTGAGGAACTTAGAGATAACGAAAATAAATATTTCAACTATTTTCGAATGTCTGCTTCATCTTTTGATGAACTGAGTGTCCTACTGAAGAACACCAAAGCCAAAATACCAAAATGAGGAACTGTATTCCACCCGTACAGATGCTTACTGTTGCAATAAGGTAAGTTAAATTATATTCTTTTCAGATGTTGAAACAATGTTTATTTTACAAATTTTAAAAAGTACTGATTACAAAGAATAACATCTACAAATGCTGCGAAATATGTTTTTAAGTTACAAAAGTACCAACTAAAAAGTGTCTTGTCTGCAAGTTATTATGAGCAGAAATCAAATGAATCGGAACAGGTAGAGTTAGAACAGGTAGACGACGCAGGGGAAGGACACCTTTCAGTGTAGGAAACAGGAGTTAGTTGAGTGAGTTGGCTGCCGAAATTCTGATAGCACTTAGATGCACACTGTTGTGATGGTGTTGTCACTCTTCTGAAATTCTCCTGTGGAGACGGTTGCTGTAGGTCCCAGTGTCGCCCTTCACATGTGGACATTGAGCCACATTGGGAGGTGTTCATTCGCTTGCGTCGTTTGATGTTGCTCACAAGTTGCAACACTCCCATCTGAAATTCTATGACTTCATCATCGTCAAATTTCTCAAGGGAAGGAATAACACCTTTAAAGAAAGACAAGTGCCTGTTTGGTGTTTCATTTTCCAGCGCTGCCAACATTCTCATTTCTACATGATCTGGCTCGCGATCGCGACGTTTTTTCGATCCCATTCTGGGAGATGGCTTTTTAAAACATGCAGCTTCCTGATCATTTGTTTCTAATCCGGAGGGTTCCTGGTCGGCAGGTGGTAAATCAGAGTTTTCCTCGGCGGATTTGTCACTATCTAAGCTGTCTGGTGTCTCACGCTCACAGTGCAGTTTAGACAAGAACTGCAATTGTTCAGCATACAAGTATTTCCTCGTAAAGAACGCCCCAGCTCCGCTCGTTTTGTCTTTATTTATTTTTCTGCGAGTTCTAGCGTAAGCATCTCTGATATTTCTCCATATTTTTAGAACTTCTTTTACTGTAATGAAATTCAAGTAAAATAAAATTAAAATTAATTAAAAAAATGAATTACATAACAAATATATGAAAGTAACTGGATGAAGAGTTTTACTATAGAATAACTAGCTAAAGAGACAAAGAAGTATCCACACTAAATAAGAAATATTCTCTCTTTTTTCAGGTACCTTGCCACTGGCTGCAGTTTTCCTGACCTAGATTACACATACAGAATTTGCGTTTCAACTGCAAGGACCATTGTCCGAGATGTATGCAGAGCCATGTGGTCTGTCATGCGATCGGAATGCATTCCTGTACTTACTAAGGAAAAATGGAAATCTCTCGCTTCTGGTTTCGAAAGAAATGCCAATTTCCCCAACTGCGTTGGAGCGGTAGACGGAAAGCACATTCTAATAATAAGTCCCAATAATAGCGACTCCATGTAATGGAATTATAAAGATTATTATGCAGTTGTATTGATGGCAGTTTCCGACCCCAACTTCCGCTTTGTACACGTAAACATTGGGAGCTATGGGAAAGACTGCGATTCCACTATTTTTAAGCGCTCTGCATTGTTGAAATCAATTGTTACAGGCACTCATGATCTACCTGAACAGTAAAGTTTACCAGAGACCGAGGGTCCAGCTGTACCATTTGTCTTGGTGGGAGACGAGGCTTTCGCACTACATAAGCACTTATTGCAGCCTTTTTGTGAGTCACAGCTAAGTGACCAACAAATATTTTCAACTGTCGCCTGATCAGAGCTCATGGGTTTGTTGAATGCTCGTTCGGAATTTTGAGTAACAAGTAGCGAATCTTACACAGAGCGATTAATGTTGAGCCGGATTTTGGAGTTGACATTATGAAGGCTTGTGTGGTCTTACATAATTTCATAAGGGACAGAGATGGATTACCGATCGAAGAAACTTCGGTAGAGGCTACCACAAACATATCAACGTTGGAGGACTTGCCACCAGAGAGCGAGACGCGTGCTGGACGTTCGGCGAACCATACAAGACAAATATTTTCTGAATATTTTGAGGGTGTTGGAGCTGTTCCCTGGCAGCTGTTAAAAATACGACATTCAGCTACGTGCACTAAATTCGTTCCCTTAATTTCTTATCTTCATTATAACTTTGTTCAACAAATACATATATATACTGTGATTTTTTTAATGCTAGTGGGGTGGGACTAAGTCACTTGTACTGCGGCCACTTCTGGCCTATTGTAGCAGCCCCAGATGATAGGTGAGGGTGATTGTGGAGCAATTGGTGGAATGAAGATTGGCAGGGGAAACCGAAGTACTCGGAGAAACCCTGCCCCAGCGCCACTTTGTCCACCACAAATCCCACTTCACCAGACCCCGGCATCGAACCCCGGTCTCCGCGGTGGGAAGCCAGCGACTAACCGCTTGAGCTATGGCGCGGCCAGATGTACTGTGAAAGTAAAAAGTGTACCTACTTACCAAATACATTTCTTTCTGAGTCTTTCAATGTTTTGAAATCTTCTTTCAGCCCCAAACAAACTTCATTCCAAGCTTCCTTCGTAGCATTTCTGTCTTTGTATGTTTCATCACCTTTATCCCATAATACTGGCCTTTCTTCAATCAACGCTATTAACAATTCCTTGTTAACATCAATGCCACTCATTTTCACCAATTTCGCAACAACAATACAACGATAAGAACTAATGCAATAACACAAAACAGACGATTCAGGGTTCGTACGGATGAAGTCGCGTAATGTGAATCACAGAACTGGATTGCATCACCAACTG